GTCGGATACGGAACGTACGGTAATCGTAAACTGCGGCTGTTATACATACGAAATGTAAACAGACGGTGTTCAGTGTTGCCATATGACTTTGGAGAAAATTTCTTCTAAAATAAAGACGGCCGGGATTGCGCGAACATGTGCGCGAAGATAATCAATTTTCATTACATTGCGCCAACTGTGCACAGCAATAGCTTAATAAAAGTGAAAATGCGCGGGAAAATTCACCGAAAACATACATCATCCTGAGTGTGGCTGTAATGTACCCACGGTTGGCAGTCCCACTAGGTACCAGAATCTTTACCCTGCTACTGCTAGCCTGCTAGGTTAATCCAGAGAATGTCTTCAAAGGAGTAGCTACCTAGAGGCTAGAGCCTAGAGGTAAGGTTCTTTTTCAGTTTTTTTGCCATGTATTCATAATAGGCTTATTTCATATAGCCTTATTACCCACCCAAATATCAATTGCAAAATTCATAGTGGTAAAGCAGAGTTTTTTAGACTCTCCCTCTAGTTCATTTTGAGTCCTAAAAGTAGACCAGCAAATTATCATGGATACCACTACCTCATACATAAGTATTTGGTTTAAATCTTGAGTAAATGAGGAAATTAAGAATGAACTGATACTAAAAAATCTTTGGTTTGTCCCTATGATTGCAATATGCTCTTGATCAACCCAACCAAATACCTACTAAATAGGCTACCTAGTACCAAGCAAGGCAAGCATGAGTATTATTTTGATTGGACAGATTGTGATGTCACTAGTGAAATTAGGAATCGAAGTAAAAATGTAGGTAATTATTTTCAATGTGAATTCGTCACTTTTATAGCTATAGGCAGTATTTTGTTTATAAAGTTTTAATAAAATCATAATAGCATTTAACACATTGACTACAATTGCTTCATCTTGTACTATTATTTTATTTTTTGTACTGTTTTTAAACAGGGTTGCCAGATGGTCATTTTTCTTGACAAATTCCGTGATTTAGTTTTTCTCAATTGTGGTGGCCAGCTAAAATTTATGATAGTGGTACTTCCTAATTAAATTTTAAATACTGCAAAAATAAAATGAATGGAATTTTTATAGTGGAAGTTGGAACCTACAAATAAACTAGTATATTGAGTTATCTGCCTTTTTTGGCCTTTTTTGTTCTCAGATTTGGCCAATTTTAGTCAACCTGAATTATGTGCCACTACGTTCTGGAGAAATACATTTCGTGGTAGGCATATGTATCACTTTGTAGTCAACGTGTTATGGGGAGCGTCTTGCTGAAATTTTATCTTGGCTATTTATAGATGGATCTTTTGAAATTTGGTAGAGTAAACGCACCATATTGCAACATTATTGGTAATTCTGATACTTCTAAACTTTTTTCCTTTTTATTAAGCTTGGTCTTAGTTCCATGCATTCGAAAAAAATAGAAGAAAAAAGTATGTTTTTTCTGTGCTGCTTGTGTTTACTGTTTGTGCAGTCTCTTGTTTCCTGCGTTCTGATTGGTTCTCAAATCATGTGACTTGGTCATGTGAATTGAGTACCAATTACGTGAGCTCAGTCAGCGAGCTCAGTGGCAGTGGACAACTTTTTTATCTGCAGTGACAGTGTTCCATCTTTAGCATGCAATTTCTACATCACCATGCCTGGAAAGTGTAAATTTCATGACTTGTGGTTAAGAATAGAAGCTTATCATGACTGGCTTGCTCACCATCCAAAGCATGAATGTATGGTGATATCATGTACATTGTATTTGAAAGACTTTGATGTGTCAAATATGGGTGAAGCAGCTTTGAAGAGCCATGCCAAAGGCAGCAAACACACTAAGTTAGCTAAGCAACACAATGAAGAGAGAAGCAAAGTGCAGTCACACATTTCTGATTTGTGGTCCTCTGTGTCTGCCTGCTCTATGCATTTACACATTTGCAATTTATCAACTGAAGGAGATGATAGAATATGCACGGTTAGTCTTTCAGTCATGCTAAACCCGTCTTCTATGAGTCTTTGAAAATTATATTGATGGTCATGGAGAGTCATGGAAAAGTCACGGAATTTTTTTTCTAAATATTGGTACGAACCCTGTCTGATACATTTACTGTAATCAGTGTTATTTGTATTTGTTATAAGGTATAATATGAATCCATCTTGAAAAGTCTGGCATATGATTTTCTCCCATGCCGCTACATTTTCCAAGATCTCCCTCAATCCGTAGGCTGCTAATCTGGCATTGGCAGAACTACAATTTCTGGCCTATTTTATTGTGATTTTTTTTTCCAGACAAACAATTTTTCAAAATTCCTAAAGCCTTCATTAGAAGACTTTTCTTGTGCATGCCACACATTGATAGTGATCATGTGGCACTATTACACATTATCATGGCTGCTTAGCTCTGCCACATCTTATTGCTATTTGCTTATTCAAATTGAAATATTTTAGTTGGAAAATTATGAAAAAACCTAGCTTAATAAATTGTGCTCTTGCCTTGCATGCTTTGTGCTTTGGTGTTTGACTAATTTGTATGCTACATGTAAGTTTTAGGATTTGGTCATTGATATTCATGATTTAATTTTCCAGGTGAAGGAGCTAAAAGAAAAAATAGAGAAGGACAGAGGCAAAGACTATCCTGCCATAGGACAAAAGCTCATCTATGCAGGTAAGAAAGTCTCTTAAAACACAGCTGAGAGGCTGAGGCACAAATTTAACCCTGGCTTTTATTGTCATGTCTTTAGTGCTATCTTGGCTTCCAACATTAATGCTTTGCCTTCAGTTCATTTGTTATCCTCCATCTGGGCTCAAATATTGCCTGAAATAAAAAATTTCAAATTTACTGGTACATCATTTGAACTGACAGCTATTTATTTATTTTTTTATTTTTTAGGTATTTTATTTATTTTTGCAATATTGACATATTGCAGCTCTGTCAAAATTTCTATCCTTTAGGTTTAAACTTGATTCACATGATTAATTGGCCTTGAACAAACATCAACCTTGGTGATGAATTGGACAAGTATGTATAATATAAATGTAAAGTAACTCATCTTCAATAACTAGGCTTAATTCTCAGTTGAGGCACAGAAGATAATCAGAAACTAAGCCTCAATGGGAATAATCTTCACTTTTATTTTTCCATTACTAGAATCACAAGTTCTCAAAATATTTACAGACTCTTTTATCTTGTATAGATTATTTAAATTCTACATTTATCCTTGAAATAATAACATTTCACACGAGAGTTCAAGAAATTTCTCCAATATGTCATTATTTGTGTGAAGGGAGTAGGTATGTTTTATCATATTGTGGCTCTGTGGGTGGTAGTCTAGTAGTATTTTTTGAAAGATGAGTCTGGTTGCCAAAATAAATTTCAAATAGGTACCGGTAGTTAACTAGTTGGTATCATTCTACTCTCTAAATAGACTATAATTTGTGGAATACAAGGCTTGTTTAAACTCTTGTTAATATGGTGTTTTACATAAACACACTTTGTGTCTATCATATAAATCTTGCTTGAAACTTGTTCAAAATATTCAAATGGAATAAATTTTAAATTATGTACAATACCCTAGTACAAAGCTTATTTGTGTTGATTTCTGGCACCAGGGAAAATTCTTCAAGATGACAACAAATTAGAATCATACAGCATGGACATAAACAAGTTCCTGGTCATAATGGTGACCAAGCCTAAGACCAGCACCCCACCTGAATCATCAGCAGACTCAGCCTCTGACACTGCTGTCGTGAGTATTTATTATAGCTAAATATTGTCCTGCAGGCATCATAATGTCTATTTGAATATCATAGCTTTAGCCAAGGTTGATTGATGATTATTCTTGTTGGACTTCATAGGTACAGATGTACATGCACTTGAAATTATTATTGTAATGTTCCAAATTATAGAATTTGACAGGAGCTAAGAAACGATATGGGTTCAATATGATGAATTGTCTGTGTTGGTACTATTTATTAGTACATGTGATCTTGTATATCCCCTGTCCAAGTGTGCCAATTGACACTTTATTATGCCTAATAAAGACAGAAAGTAGATGAAAGTCATCAGAAGAAACTTGAATGAAATGCATACAAGGCTCTCCCACTGCTGAAACAATATTAATAGATCAAAATTTTTGGATCATCTTCATTTCCCTTACTTCAGGTAGCACACTTTTTCTATAAACCTCATTTGGGAACTAAAATTATCCATATTAATTGAATTAATTTGACACAATTGTGAAAAATAAGGCAGCTATTAGTATTTTAGCAATTTACATATGTACAAATTTTTGTATTATAGACTGAATCAAGTGAGAGCACGAGCAGTACTACATCTACAACCACATCTTCATCCAGCTCCACCACAGACACCACCACATCTACCAGCACCACCACTACCACCACCAGCAGTGCGGCTGGAGCTGAGGGAGCAGCAGCACCCACAGCAGCTTCTGCAGCCAGCAACGCTGAGAGCTTCTTAGTCATGGGGGAAGAGTTCAATAAGATGGTTGAAAATATCATGGAGATGGGCTATGAGAGAAGAGAGGTGATTCAATATATAAATTACGCCTTCATAAGGTATTTGTTATTCCAGTTGTATTCTAATGTATGAAAGCTAACCTTTCAGAATCTTCATATATTTCATTATGTCACAAGCAGGTTTGCCAAAATGTGCCCAAGCAATTTTGGAAACTCATTACTATCATCCATAATAATAATAATAATAATTTTAATTAAATGAAAACCTCTTCAAACTAATATTCTATATAGAGGACAGGACTCCCATATTACTAATTTCAAAATATGGGGTCTTAGCTAACACCCCAGCTTACACAGGTCTAGTGAGTACTGCATGTGAGCTTCAACAACCCTACACCGCAGTGCAGTACCTCGTGTATGACCCATTCATTACTCTGAGTGTACGTCTAAACTGACCCCTACCTGCACAGGTGGAGCGAGCACTACGCGCCAGCTTCAACAACCCCTACACCGCCGTGCAGTACCTCGTGGACGGCATCCCCGATAACCTCGGCGAGGGCGACGCCCCTGCTGAGGGCGGGGACGCCGACGATGCAGGTCTGATACTCAAGCCATCACTCAGGAAATGAATGTGTCATATTGTCCAAATGATGGTGACACACTTGCATACCCATAGCACCAACGACGCACTAAGGAAATGCATGGGCTATAATGTCCAAATTGAGGCTCACTTTTTGACCCACAGAGTATAAAGTGGATGTAGCACTGATGCGCTCTTCTGCTGGGACAAAACTGGGTCAGGATGACCCACAAATGTCGTAAAGTTCATTGCTATTTGGACAAGGCCTCTCTCATTTCTCTCGGTGCAGTCTCTCGTACATATTTTTGTGGCGTAGATTCAATCAGCAACTGCTGCTGGTGAAGCAAGCTACACAAAATTATTATTTATTATCTAATATATATCTCCTTTTTGATCATATGAACATAAATTGTTTTGTATTAAAGTTTTTGTCTTCTATTTTACTAGAAGATTTTTTATTTATTTCCTTTTATGAATAATTTCCATATATTATGAAGATTGACCTATTTTCTCCCGTCTTGAATCAAAAGTATGTCCGCTGTTACTTTCCTGTTTATGAAGTTAACACCATCTATCGTTTTTTTAATGTTCTAATTAAGATACTATTCCTTTTAAAGTATATTTTTAGCTTGTTCCTCCATCATTGTATTTAGTTGGAATTTTCTTTTGCTCTGCTCTGATTGTGGGATGCTATCTTGCCGTAATTTTCTTGATAAATTGACTGATTAAATACGCCAGCTGCCTGTACCTAATCTTACCAGCTTCTGTAGCATAACCTCTAGCTTATGCAATTATAGTTATTTTAGTGGAATTTATTTTCTCGCGTCATTTTCATTCATTTTGTCATGTGCTTTCAAAAGCGATTGATACGGCTTGCGATAGGTTGATTCACGGAAACTTCCTGATTTGATAGCTCAATAAAAAACAAATTGTGAATATATCATTAGTGATTACAATAGAAACTTAATCGGAAAAGACATTATCTGAATTTTTGTATGGCTTAGCTTTAAAGATGTCATCGGACAAATGACGGCCTACATTATGAATTCATTCAATTAGACGATTTTTGATGTTCAGTTCAACTCGCTGAAGCATATTGATGGGCATGTTGCGATGGCTTGACGTATGATCTTCAAATGAGGTAAAGTCCTTGGACAGTCATTGTAAACAATTTATTCAAGACAACTTGCCCTAAATATGTTAACCCACATAACAATCAATTTCCGGTCAGGAACTCGACCTGAAGGGCAAATATGGAACCGGGTACGGAATGCTCGTTGAGTAGCAATAATGAAATGGCTATTAGAAAAGTACGCCACGACACGAAATCCACGCTGTTCACTTGTCCAATGTGTAGTAGCCATTGACTAGGACGGACACAAAACTTTATGACCTTGCCTTTCTTATGAAATACCCCCAACCTTTTTCTGCAACATCTGGCTGCTTGGTACGAAATACAAAACAGGAAGTTTCCTGAATCGACTTTGTATTTCTATTTCTTGATAAGGTTATTTTGTTTTCTTTGGATTGTATGATGAAGTTCTTGTGCAACGCTGATGCTTTTTCATAACTTCTCAGATTTTATCCTAAGCCTTGATACTCTTGGAACTCCTAGGTTGTCATTTTTGTCGTTTCAACGTTGTTCCTCATTTTTTCTCGTCATAATTTCTGCTTGGTTTACGTCGTTTTTATGATCTGTTTCTTGGCGACAGTGGATGCTAATTCAATTATTTGTGCTCGTTGTTGTGGATGAAATTTTCTCCTAATTGAGGGCTCATAGAATATGGCAGGAGCTCTGACAAGATTGTTGTTGCATTTTTTTGTTACTTGATTTGTGTTGTTTCCTGGTTAGAGTTCCATCTAATGGCTGCTAGTATTTTTTTTACTGGCTGCTATTTTTTTATTTCTAAATATATAGTATTAGCTTTGATCCCACCTTGGGCGGCACGCACAAACGCCCACAGCCTCATTAATGCCTCAGGTGACATGGCAGGTGCCCTGGCGGCGGCTGCAGCTGTAGTAGGTGCTGGTGAGGGAGGCGGCGCCGGTGGTGCAGGAGGAAGCGCTGAAGATCCTCTCGCTTTCCTGCGCAATCAGCCGCAGTTCGTCCAGATGACGCAGATGATGCGCAACAACCCCCAGCTGCTGGATGCGTTCTTGCAGCAGATCAGAACCACGAACCCTGGTCTCCTGCAGGTCATTCAAGACAACCAGGAGGCCTTCGTACGCATGATCAATCAGCCACAGTCGACGGGTCAGCAGTGTTTGTTTTTCGGCAGTTGTTACGAGTGATAAAGACGACCTACCAAAATTATCTTTACATTAGTCTGCCTCATTTATCTCTACATTATCTCTTAATTTATCTCTACACAAGTCTGCGTTAAATTTTAGTCAATATCTACATGATAATGCTAGTATTAGTGGTATCCATGATACTTCACTAATCTTCCCTTATTACTAAAAAGGAAGAGTCTAATAAACTCTGCTTTGACTAAGCCTCTTCGGTCTGCCTTCATTAGCAATGGTGTTCATTACGGTACTTGTAATAACTTCACATTTTGTTTTGTACATCAGCGGTGCTTTTTTCTGTGGTACGTCTTGCCATTTGTGATAGTCACCGTACTTAAGTTGGTCTCCGATCCCCTTTTGACTTCTTCATAAGTCAACATATCACTGGAATGTTGAATATTCATTATACGGTAATTATGTGTGAAGTCAATATTTAACAAGTTATATTGGTTTATCATCTTACAAACTTAAGTAGTAGAAGTGATTTCTGCGTAATTCTGTTTAGAGTTGTGATGGTATGAAGTGCAAATGTTGAACACGAAGGTTCTTATCACTCAGAATACACAATTTTATCTTGACGTAGTTGAAAATTTTGACACGGCGTTGATACAAGTGCTGCATATCGAATTATTGCGGCACAATGTTACCGTGGGAAATTTGATTGAAAATTGTCCATGATGTGCTAGTTTGTTTACGTCAACTTTGTTAGTTGGTGGGAACCTCTTTAGTCTTGAAAAAAGTTTTGGGCATAAATAGTTGATTTTTATTTTTTTAGTTAATTTTGCAAATTTGTTTTGATTACTTTCTGATGAAGAACGATGTCTTGATATAATTTTGCAATTCGCCTGCTAAAGCTTGCTTCTAAAAATACATGATTTCAGCTACTATGAACACGTAGATCGTGATGCAGCTCTTCCTTTTGAGTTGCTTCCTAACCGTGAATATTTTCTCTTCTCGCCTTATAATTTCTATAGTTTCATACACGAAAAACTCCTACCGTCCAAATGCTGAAGATTTTCCGTTTACTATCCAAAAATCTTTTCCTTACCACCATATAATCTCTTCTTTTACTAAACAAGAACTTACCTACTAACGTCGCATAATCTTATTGTTTCCAATCCAAAAATCTTTTCATTTCCTACCGTATTATCTATTCATTTTCTAATCAAGAAATTTTTGCATTATGCCATATAATCTCTTTGTTTCTTTTCCTAGAATTTTTTTCTCTCCCCACCGAATAATCTCTTCTCTTTCTACTTGTGAATATTTTACTTCTTATACTAGAATATTACGTTAACATTAATGTCTTGTTTGCCTGACGTGCTTGCGTGGTATGCAGGCGGCACCGGCGCAGATGCCCCCACCAGCGGAGGAGGTGTCCAAGTCACAGGCGGCGGCGGCGGTGGTGGTGGCGGTGGCGGAGGACCGCGTGGCGCGACCATCGTGTTGTCGCAGGAGGATCGCGATGCTATCGACCGGGTACAATTCTCTTGCATGTCGTTATAATTATAATATTTAATATTAATAATACTTGGTATTATAATTTCTCTTCATTTTAATCTAAAACAGTTTCTCTTTATCATAAAATTTCATAATAAAATGGTACAAGATGGGAAATTTCTTTTATTATGCATGTACGATTGATAAGAGAATGCATTTTGAATTTGCAACTTGTTGAAAGAATGCATTTCATGGTCATCAATCGAACTTGCTAATAGAATAGAAACTTCGAGTAATTTCGCACATGATTAATTATTAAAACAAAATTCTCATCATTTTAATTCGGGCTGCTGATTTCTTGGCAATGATTAGTCATTGGGGAATATGTTTGGGTTTTTCTCCTATTGTAACAAAAGTAAACTGTGAATAAATCAAATTCAATGAATATGAATATATCAAAATCCGATATTTCCATACGGTTCAAGTTGAATACGTTACTTATTTTCTAAGTTTAGTTACCAATATTAGTATTCTTAAAACTCTTAGATATTTGAACCGAATAGCAGCAAGTATTATCAAATCTACGTTATGAAGTAACTTCGCTTTAAAGCCTCAGCTATAACCGTGCTCAGTATTTCTCCTGCTTCGGCTCAATTCCACTCCGAGTTCAATTTGACTGGTGACTAGAGTCTCAGGATGTTTCCAGGTTCCTCATATTGGATTCCTGACATAGCCTATCATATTATATATGATATATATGTTATGATAGTTAATTATGTTTTACTGTTCAATATTAGATAAAGCATTATATTTATTCATTTTTCAGCTACGAGGCTTGGGCAACTTCCCCGAGGAGTTGGTGATTCAGGCTTATTTTGCGTGTGAGAAGAACGAGAACCTGGCGGCCGAATTCCTCTTCAGTCAGGCCTGGGATTAACAAAGAAGTTTTGCCACCATCCTCGTAATTAAAGTCATCAGCAGCAGCTATTCCCCATCTTACATTTATCTGCCGCTTTGCCCTTAACTGAAATATTATTGCCTCTGTGGCATACCAGATGATATTCCTCATACGTTGCTTGACATATAGTGAAATTCATCTGCCGCAATTGTAATTAACTGAATAGGTACGTTTATGATCCCCCCCCCCATACTTATATTCATCACACGCTGTAGCGTTCCATACTAATATTCATATGCCAGTGCTGCTTGTGGGCGGAAATTCATCCGTTGCTCCTCTTATTTCAAGGGCTGTGTGACTCTTCTTTTACTTTAATTTCCCTGAAACACTTTAGCTTTTACTTAGTTTGAATTTCCTTTAAATATTGGTTAAATCGTTCATTTCTTCGTCAAAATTATTGAATGTTACTCTGTAAGCCTTGAGATGTGCAAGTGTTTTTCTTTTGAGTTTTTCTGTCTTCAGTTGAATTCATCATTCATAGAAGTTAATAAAGAATTCTTTGTTCATATTTTAAATCTCGGTCTATTTGTTGTGAAAATAAATGACAGGAATTTTCAAAGCACCAAAATGTTCTCATTTTTTAGTCAAATATTTACTTGCAAGCTGAACAGTTTCGAATATACTTCGTTGTACCGTGAATTTTCCTTCTAACTGGAGGTTGCAATCTTGACAATTTTGAAAAATCTTATTCTGAATATTGTATGGCATTTAATATTGATTTATCTTCATCAAAATAGGGATTTAGTGCTAAAGTCTTACGTCATATCCGGTACTTTTGAAATTCTGTCGGGTACTTCATCCAATTTAAGCGAATTTTTTTTCATGTCATAGAAATATTTTTGACAATTCTTGAACGAGACACGTTCGTGCAGTAAACTACTGCTCAATAGTGCAGCAGTTACCCAAATCAAAGAAGGGCATTATGATTTCGCTATCACTGGTTATGTTGTCGAGTGTACAATAATGCTTGGAATACATCGTACGAATCACTCCATTGAATAGGTTGTGCTGTTACTTCAAGATAGCGATCAATAACTTATGTATGTTACAATGTTGAAATGAACATTGTAACCAACGCAGCACTGTTACTTAGTAGCATCAATTGTCACGTTTTGCACTAAAGTGGGTTGATGTTATTCACCATCTATACTATAGAATGTGAACTTACGCGTTTCTCCTAAACTACCTAAACTTTCACGCGACTAGTTACTCAACGGAATTCTTACATAACTTTGCGAGAAACTTGTGTATGGTATTTATCAGGGGCTAATCTCGAGAACACCAGTATGAAAAGACCTGCGATCCAAAATGCGATGCACGTGAAATGAAATGTTGGACATTTTTTGTACGAATCGGCGTTTTGATCAAAATAAATATGATTAAATAGTTCTAAGCTAATTAGCCTTATGGCAGCAGCTCCATTGTGCAAAATCTCGTGCAGGTGTACTTGATATTTAAAATAAAACATTCCCTCTGAATGTGGGCGAGTGGCAATCAAACATTGTTGGCTGACGCGTGCCTAGAAAAGTCGTGTAGTTACTCGTAAAGATAAACTGGATAGGCCAGATAAAACTAGTCATTATTTCGTAGTGATGGTACTCTCTGAACACAGGCAAAAGTGAGCTAGTGGCAGTCAAACATTGTTGGCTGACGCGTGCCTAGAAAAGTCGTGTAGTTACTCGTAAAGATATACTGGATAGGCCAGATAAAACTAGTCATTATTTCGTAGTGATGGTACTCTGAACACAGGCAAAAGTAAGCTGTTGAGTGAACATGGCCGCGACAAAATTGCTTTGTGGAACTCTTAGCACAATGATCCCGCTTTTTATTGAAAGTTGCTCTAGTTCAATCTAATAACACTGATATACGCTCGATCTCCTAGCAGAAGATGCAGGAATTTGAAGCTCACGATAATGTGCCGCAGCTGCGGGATATCGTCTTTAAAAACTACATATAAAAAACGTTCTACACTCTGTGTCCATCAATATTGAAATAAAGTTCGTGAGCGCACATGAAAGAATGGCCTTGTTTCTACTTATTTCTCGGTCAATGCGTTGACTTAAGAGTTTTTTTCGCGATAGTTTCTTTGCGTACGGTCGTGAAAACATTGTAATGTACAACTACGCAACATAGTTTGCAGGATTTCTCCTCTCGGAGAAATACAAATCATAACTATCAAGACCTAAAAATCATTAAATAAATCCCAGTCCCAGTGTTGACGTCCAGAAAAAAAAAAACATTTCACTGGCACTTGATATACGTCAAGGAGAAATAATTACGATCAGGATTTCATACGCAGCAGCTTTAATGCGCAGCAGCTGCAGCGGCGGCAGCAGCCTTCCTCTGTTGAAGGATGACCTTCTGAAGCTCCTCCCTCTTCCTCTTGGCACGGAGGTGGGTGCCCAGTCTCTTCTTGAGGAACTTGAGTGCCCTCTTTTCTCTGGACACCTTCAGGAACTCCATGCACCTACGCTCATATGGGGCGAAGCCAACAATTTCACGCACGATGTCACGAATGAATTTGTTGTGGGCAGTGATGCGCTGAAAAAAAAAGTTCCAACTAATTAACACATAGCCAACCGAATTTCCGTCAATGTTTCATTTAAAAATAAATATTGGGCACAGTAATTGAGCCTCATGGTCTAACGTTAATGATCTACAACACTGATTGTTGATAATCCAGGAACACATTTTCTGGTAAATTTACAAAAGAATGCAATGGATAATAATTTCCATTCTTTGACGTCTCAGGTGTACACAGAAACTTCTAATGCATAAACAAATTCGAAACACATTTGCTTGGGTACTAATATGTTGAACTCCATCCAGCAAGTGAAACTGCACATGAAGTCAGTAGTGGCCAATTATGATGAAAAATTTTCATCAATTAGAATAAGGTTCAATGTTCCACATGCAGAATTTAGACACAAATTTGTAAATTAGTTCAAGCTTTCTGATTTTTATGATGAATTTCAAATATGACAAGTAAAAAATTCATGGATAAAAATAGCATAAGCATTGTAAAAGAAGCTCAATTGTGAATCAAACTTACTCCTTTCCTGGCGCCATGGCGAGGCTTGAACTTTGTCTTGGTGACTTTGTGGCCCTTGTTGAGGCCTCGGGCATACTCGAATGGGAGAGGCATTGTGGGTCTGCAAGTTAAAAGTGAAAAATAAATAGACCTATATTACAAAAAGTATGATGCATGTAAATCACAATAATGCATAAGCTCAACATATAATAATATAACACAGGCAAGGCTTACTTTACTTTAGTCATAATAAACATATTTTCCATGTTTATGGAAAACTAAATTTCATAGGCTTTGCAACTTGCAAGGAAGGATTTTCCCTACTGGTGTCTTAGCAAATCACCTTTTTATGACATACAAAAGTTATATTAAAATAAAAACGTTTTTACTATGTTGAGGTACTTGAAATGTCACAATCACATATTTATTGCCCTCCTTTTTTCATAGTTTAAATTGCTCAATTTTATAATAGTTAATTTTGCAGACTGGGAAAAAGATGACAAATTTTCAAAATTTCAGTTTAGTGTTTCATGGACTTCAAATTTTAAGCAATTTCCCAACAGTTTATATTACTTCTTATAAATTTGACACCTAATAAGCTTAGAAATTTTTTGCATTTACATAAAATATTTCATTGATATCTTAATATGTGGTATCATTTTTATAAACTTGAAGTGGAAGCCACAAAATTACATATTTGATTTCATTATTTGAACATGCTATACAGCCAAAAACATTTTTGTAAATCAAAATCTGAAACTTGTAGCCATGAAATTTCAAAAGAGCTTAAAAAATATAGTTTCTAGGATGCTCCATGAAATAGCACTAAAATATTAGTTCAACAATCCAGCAGCCAGCAATGAAAAATACAAAGAAGTAATGCAATTTTGAATACATTGACCCATACATAATTTTACACAAAACCAGCTAATTTATTATGTAGCCTCAGTATTAGGCCTTTAATGCCCATTGACAAAATTTTTCTATGTCAAATAGTTTTTGAGTTGTGGGGGTTTTTGTAAAAAAAACGAAAAGTGGTCTAAGTTACCCCGCCGGTCTAAGTTACCCCATTTTACGGTACATAATATTTTTCAGAATAAAAGTAAAAAAAATCACAAATGGCAAAAATTTAATATATAATTGTTTAGAGGAGCAATGATGATTATAAGCACAAGTTGAATAAATTATGTACTATTGATGTGACTTTGACCACAAATCCATTGTTTTTACCAGCAATTTTTGGGAAATATTGCCCAATATTCCAGATTGAATTATTAGCAAATTTCAAGAAGCCAAGCTCATATAACTGCAAGAGAATGCCGACAAAAAATATTTGGGATGCAGATATTTAAGAAGGGAGCATAGTACAGATTTGTAGAATTAATATTTTTCTATGAAAAACTAATTTGCAATCTGATCTGAAATATTTGACAGAATTCTTCAAAGATCCCAAGTAAGTGTCATGACTCACTACTCCATGATTTTTTTTTTAAATCACAGGCAAAAATGTTATTTTACACAAATTTTACTGAAAAAATCAATCAAGGGACATGGAAAGCAGGGTTGGAAAATTTGTTTTTTTGCCAAAATATCATGGCTCCAATCCCATATAATTTCAGTAGGTATTAAATCTCGCAGCTCAAATGTCATAAATTTTTGTGATTGAAAAAAATCATGGTTCACACTTCACAAACTGTCATTTGATCAAATTAACTTCCGCAATCTGCACTACTTTACCATTTGTGCCAAAATATCCTGCAGAACGTAATTATTGTAATGCTAACAAGTCAACCTAAAAGTTTCGTTGAAGATAGCGCATAGTTGCAGACACGTCAGACTGCATTAACACATGTTCAACTTACAGTAAAGACAAATGTTATTGTTGCTGTTTTGACTGTTTCAGGGTAAAATTAGAGATTTGGGGAAACATGTGTATGGACATCGTAAATTGATTCACTTCTTGTTAATGGTTTTTCATGGCCAAGATATGGAATTCACGGCTCGAAAAATGGAATCACAGCTCAAAGAAATGGAAATACAGCTGGCAAAGCCATAAAGCCATAGCTTAAAAAATTCAGTCACGGCTTGCCAAGTAGATATGTTCCATGCCTGCATGGAAGCACGCAACTTTTCTGTCCTCGCAGGTCTTTTATTACTTATTAGTCTTGTCCACAGGATTCAGTCCAATTTTCCAGTTTGCTTTGTGAGCTGCACTATTTCTAACAGCACCAACATAAATAACTAGGGCCACAAGATTTCCAACTTGCTAAAATAAGATGATTTTGAAGATTTTTTGATAAAAACTCCTTTTTCAAATAAAAAGGAGTTTGTATATCATGTATTAAAAAAATTGTTGAGGCAAAGAAAATATCATCTTTGGAAACAAGCATGGAATATACCTTTAGAGCGGTAATACTTTAGATTAAGTGCATCCCAAAAAGGGTGTTTTTTTAATTATATGTTTTTTGGGGTGTAGATTAAGAATCTGAAATCCATTTTTGGCAGTCGGTATTGGAAATTTTTAATGGAACCTGTTCCTAACTGGACCTAACCTGCAAGATTTTTGTTGATTGGCTAGGTTTTTCCGGCCGCTGGACGGACTCCAAACATAGAAAAAACCTAGCCAATCAACAAAAACCTCGCAGGTTAGGTCCAGTTAGGAACAGGTTCCATTAAAAAATTTTGATGCCGACCACCAAAAACGGATTTCATATTCTTAATCTACATCCCAAAAAACATATAATTGAAAAAAAACACCCTTTTTTGGATGCACTTAATCTAAAGTAATATCTTTAGAGCTACTGAAACTAAAAGAACTTTACTGCCATTTTTGGAGCCATGAGATTCCTAGTAGATGGATTATCTCCTAGAATGAGTAGGGTAAATGCACCATATTCCAACACTGTGGGTAATTCCAACACCCCTCAACCATTTCCTTTATAATAAGCTTGGTCTTAGTTCCACACATGCGTAGATGGTTGAAATAGTGATGTCATACTTTTGCGTGCAAGATTTCTGCAAAACACTAGGTCTAGCGTAAAATGTTAATATTCACAGAGCAAAAGTCCAAGTCAGCTTAGTGAGAACATCGAAACATATGAAAGTTTATGTTGTGGTTGTTGTTAATTGCCTGGGACCACTGCTCAGCGGCAGCTCCGGGGGAGGAGGGGGGAGCGGGGGTTCCGCTCCAAGGATGTCGGCGAAGGATGGGAGCAAGGAGAGGAAAGCCGCAGCCGGTCCAGGGTTAGACCAGAGGTCCAGTGGGGTCAGCGAGGTGGGATGCGAAGGGCAGCTGAAGAGGTGATGGGTGGTGTGGTCTATTGTGCCGCACTCAGGGCAGAGTGGGCTGTGCCAATGCGAGCAAGGTACTAATTGAGCCGCGATGAGTGGCCAGAGCGGAGCTGAGAAAGGGCGCTTCTGGCCACCCTGGGCAGGGACAGCTTGCTGGATGAGACAGTGGGGGCAGGGGTCAGCAGCACCTTGCTGGGAGCTGCTGAGGCCAGGTAGAATGAGACAGAGGAGCTGTGCAGGGTGCTGAGGGCAGCAGAGTAGGTGTCAGGGGGGGGGGAAGATCCCTCATCCAGCAGGTCAGGTGAGAGACCAAAGGGAGGAAGCGGGACTGAAACGTGTGCTTCATGGGACAGGGCCCTGATGTCTGGGTGACAATAGGGTAGCTGGGATGGTGTGGTCAAAGGGCACTGGCAAGGAACTGTGAGCAAAGTAGAGAGAACAGGTCGGCCATGGGTAAGACCTCAGCTTTGCTGTGCAGGTGGGAAGCGGAAGCCATCAGAAGAGATCCCGTGGCTATGCGTAGGGCAGTTTTGAATAGTTTGCAGCTTGGAGATTGCTGAGGGAGAGGCGTTGGAGAACCACACTGGGGCAGCGTAGGTGATGAGAGACTTTATAAGACCCTTGAAAGTCACCAAGAGGGTTTCCTTCTGCTGGCCCTGGCAAGGGATTTGAGTATGTTGAGGCGCAGGCAGGCTCTCTGGCATATAGCAGTGATGTGAGGCAAAAAGGTCAAGTGGGGGTCAAAAGTGACCCCAAGGATCTTCGGGGTACGACAAAGTGGAAGGTCAGACCCCTCCCAGCTGACATGAGGGTCTGTTTGTGATTGATGGGCGTCAGAGGTGAAGAGGGTAGTGTGGGATTTGGGGATAGGCACTGATAACCCCCTTCAAACGAGCCCATGCAGCCACATCGGAGGAGTGGGTTGAGAGGACTGCAGATGCGTCAGCGATCTGCATGGCCCCCGCAGCGGCAGTGATTTCGTCCGCATATGAGGTGATTAGAGGGGCGGACTGGGGGAAGTATGACACATAGGAGTTGAAAAGGACGGGCGAGATGACGGAGCCTTGTGGAACTCTAGCAAGGACCGGGCGTGGGGAGGAGATGCAGCTGTTGTAGGAGCACCTGGCTGTCCTGCCTCTGATGTAGCAGATCAGCCAGCGGGTGATATTGGCGTGGAGGGGAGTGGAGGCGATGTGAGAGATGAGCTGGGCATGAGGCACGGTGTCGGAAGCCTTGCTGAAATCAATGGCCATTGCTATTGTCCTGTTTGGTAGGCAAGGCTGCTTGGAGCCCGTAGCTATGGCCTGGGTTAGAGGGAGTAGGGCAGATGTTGTGGAGTGAATAGAGATGCGACGTAAAAAAAAACACTCATGTTTTTTTTAATAAAAAACATCAGCCTAAAAAAAACATGTTTTTTATTGTTTTTTTTTTTAGAAAAACATAAATAAATGCAAATTAATCCATAATCACTTTACCTGAGGGCCACAGGATGATAGGTGACAGGTCTAAGTGGCTGACTTCCAGATGGCAGAGATGTCAGCCTTGGCACGGGACAGGTTGAAAAGTTTGGTGAGGTACTGGATGCCTCTGGGACCCAGATGACGGAGGTGGAGGATGGAAGGTTGTTAGTTGGCCTTGCTTTACTCAATAGTAATAAACTGTTTGTGTAGAAAGAACATTATGATTTGAGACTTTTAAATAAGTCTGTGAATATATTAGGAATCCTTTAAGTATACTTGTATTTGCTGATTTTGAGTGGTATATGAATTAATAGGCAGTTTCAGACACATAAAAACTATTTCCAACACAGGGTGTCGGAATTACGAATTATGATTTTGAAGCGCTGTCGGAATTAGTCTCACAATATGCGGCATTTAGTCTCACACAGTATCGGAATTCAGCAATTTTGTAGATTTGAATTCTGAAGGCTTTTAAATAAATATGGTAACAGTTTGTGACGTTTCATCATTGCCGGCAGCCTGGCGCAGTGTGGTGTTTTGAGAGTGACGTAAACCAATCAGAACTCGAGTTGTGCATACGGTGATCTATTTATAGCCATTTATTTCTGGCTATGCCTTAAGGTGTTGGCATAGTGGCAAACCAGAGATTTTTTAGAATCAGTTCATTTTCAATTCCCTCATTTACTCAAGATATAAACCATTACTTATGTATGATAATGCTGGTATCCATGATAGGGTAAACGCAGTATATTCCAACATCGTGGGTAATTCCGACACCTCTAGTTTTTCCTTTATATTAAGCTTTGTTTTAGTTCCATGCGTTCATTGATGGTTGAAATAGTGACATCATACATTTGCGCGTCAAACTACTGTCAAAACACTAGGTCTGGGCCATCTAGCAGGAAAATGTTGAGATCCAAAGAGAGACGGTGCATGCCACCCAATGAGATCATCGAAAAATGTGTCAAAGTTGACAATTGACCTTGCTCTACCAAATAGTGATAAACAGTTTCTGTAGAAAGAATATTATGGTTTGAGACTTTTAAATACGTCTGTGAATATATTAGGAATCCTTCAAGTATACTTGTATTTGCTGATTTCAAGTGGTAAATAAATTAATAGATGATTAAGTTGAGAAATGGATTTAGACACATAAACTAATTCCAACACAACTTGAATTGAACACACACAGCTCGTCCCAAGCCGTGTGCAAAAATTTAAAATTTTCTTAATTAAAAGCTTAATAACTGTTAATTAAAAGCCTAATCAAGTAGTGCTCAATATTCAATAGTGTTCTAATTCAAAGGCATGTCGTATTCCAATACAGCTCACACAGCGATCGGAATTCGAACACGCGGATGTTGGAATTACGTATTAGTACAATTTGAAGCACGGTCAGAATATGTCTCACCACGTGCCAAATATAGTCACACACAGTGTCAGAATATAGGGATTTGGTAGGTATGCATTCTAAAGGCTTTGAAATAAATATGGCAACATTTTGTGACGTTTCATTGTTGCTGGTGCGTCGCGTGGTTCTGAGAGTCACGTAACGCAAACAGAACTCGAGTACTGCATATGTTTTTTTTCTTAGTTTTTCATTTCTCGATGCGTCCCTAATGTGTCGGAATATAGGGTAAACGCGGTATATTCCGACACATTAAGGATGCATCGAGAAATGAAAAACTATAAAAAAATAACCGTATGCGTTACCCGAGTTCTGTTTGCTTTATGTGACTCGCGAAACACCGTACTACGCGCCAGCAATGATGAAACGTCACAAAATGTTGCCTTATTTATTTAAAAGCCTTCAGAATGCAAACCTACCAAATCCCTACATTCCAACACTGTGTGGCAATATTCGGCATGTGGTGAGGCATATTCCGTCCTCGCTTCAAATTCTACCGATACGTAATGCCGTCATCCACGTGTTTGAATTCCGTTTGCTGTGTGAGCTGTATTGGAATACAACACTGCTTTGAATTAGAAGACTAATGAATATTGAAGACTACTTAATTACGCTTTTAATTTTTGTACATAGCTTGGAATGATCTGTGTGTGTCCAATTCAAGTTCTGACAGAATTAGTTTTCATGTGTCTAAATCCATTTCTCAACTTAATCATTTTTTAATTTATTTACAAATTGAAATCAGCAAATACAAGTAGGTATACTTAAAGGATTCCTAATATATTCACAGACGTATTTAAAAGTCTCAAACCATAATATTCTTCCTATACAAACAGTTATTCACTATTTGGTAGAGCAAGGTCAACTGTCAAATTTGACACATTTTTCAATGATTTTGCTGGGTAGCGTGCATTGTCTCTCTTTGGATCTCAATATTTTCCTGCTAGATGGCCAAGACCTAGTGTTTTGGCAGTAGTTCGATGCGCAAATGTATGACGTCACCATTTCAACCATCAACGAACGCATGGAACTAAAACAAAGCTTACCCATGATGTCAGAATATACCACGTTTACTCTACTTTACTGGTCTACATATAGGACTCAAAAATGAACTTGAGAAAGTCTAAAAAACTCTCTGTTTTGCCACTATAGATGCCATGTCAGAATATGGTGTGTTTACCCTAGAATCCTACCTTTTTGTTGATAATAATGAATTACCAGGCCACAAAATTCCTAATGCAGCTCCAAAATTCCTTAATGGCCACAAAATCTTGCAGCTCCTATTCTCCTAATGGAGCTGCAAGATTTCACTAATAAGTAGGAAAGGTCCAATCAAGAACCTAGGCTAATAGTAATAGTAGTAGAAAGGAAAACCCATTGACAAACAATAAAAAGAGGCTTCTTTAACCTGCTTGCAACTTGAGAACATAGTGACAAACCAGAGATTTTTTAAAATCAGTTCATTTCTAATTTCCTTATTTATTCAAGACTTAAACCAATTTCTTATATAAGATAATGCTGGTATCCATGATACTTTACTAGTCCACTTATTGGACTCAAAAATGAACTCAAGGGAGAGTCTAAAAAACTCTCTGCTTTGCCACTATGCAAGTTGAGAAGTATGCTACAACTGATGGCATCATGGCAGTTCATATCATTTTACAGGTACAAATTGAATTGAAGTTCAAAATTTTGGTTATAATTCATTAAATAATTATAAATATAATAAGTAATCATTCCAAGGCCGCTTAGCAAGGGCTGCAAGGCAGAGAATCTTGAGAAATGTTGAATCTCAGTTTCAGTGAAGAAGCGGATTTCAATGTCTCTGAATAAAAATTTTTGTTGATAGAATACTTCATTAGGCAGCAAACAACGTTCAAATACTTGCGAATCTACGGAATAAACTACAGCAAGATCGTCGAATCTCCATAATTCAATCAGTCAAAATAGGTACGACAATTCACTTGAATAAAAAACGGAGAATATCCTGTTTCCAGCTATCGCTAACTTAAAAGAATTTAAATTGGAACATGAAGGTTTAGACGTCGTGTAAAACCTACTTGTCAGATAATATATAGTTATTTAAAACTTAATAATCTATTATTCGACACTCACTTCCTAGCGTCCAAACACGATGATGATAGGACTGTTGCCAAACGAGCAAGTTGTGAATTTCCCACTTTGGTTCAGAATGAAAACAAACAGCCCAAATGTACAACAAATATTTTTGATTTTCTAAGATACTTTCAATTGATTTTCAGCTGCTAATTTCATCAATGAAGAATAAAGAAATGTAAATGTTTCATTTACACTCGTGAGAAAATATTATATTTAAAAAACTAAAAGGAATCAAATTAAAATTCCCGTCACTCCAATAATTGTCGCATGGAGGCAAATTATTTTAGATGTGTTCATATGTCCTTTTATGTTAACGATGAAATTAAGTTTTGTTAATAATAAAATTACCTACAGCATCCAGACAGCAGCCCCCACCACTACTACACTAGTCTTATGCCTAGCGACCTACATACATACATGTAGAAACTGATTCGTGTAGGACACATTTGTTTAGTATCTCTTCACGCCTCACGTGTTGAATATTTCGATATATTTCCATTCATCAATAACAGGCTATTATACAATACGAATATGCACCTCATGACATAAAACAGTTATTCTAACATTTGGCATTACTCACCTTTTTGATGACTCCATGCTTTCTCAGGTGAACTAATAAATGTACACAATTTGAGCGCTACTGTATGAAAAACTCCGCTTGCAATCTCCAACCTGCAACTGAAACTTGTTCTGGGAAAGAGTACTGAATGACATGCAATCAACAACAATTCGTTAAAAAAAAACTTTTGATGGTTAGGTGGCCTATATGTAGGACACCAGGAATAATTGGATTAATGAAAGCATAGTATCTGGAGAAATGTCAAATTAAAATGGCTGAGCACCGTAATTTGCTCACCGGGTGCGTTTCAATAGGCGTTATTGAGAGGAATTTTTGAAATTTATTGGCACTGGCAACCACGCTTGTTCTAAGTTCATGCATGTCCCGTGTAATCTGCTGGGAAGGATTTATGTTAAAAATTACAGGCGCATTCCCTTTGGGCTTAGTGAGTACCATACGTTTTTTCTAGGGTCTAGGCTAACCCAGATAATAAATCTAAAAGTTTTAGTTAGGTACTCTGCTGTCAAGGGAAGTAATTTCTCAGGTGGATTTTAAATCACACCAATGGAGTGATAGAAATGCGAAAAATTGCGAACAAAGCCTCCAGAAAAATTAGACGAAATTGAAAAAATCACAAAATATACTTCTGCGTTAAACCACTTCTGGTAGTTGCTTTTCCGAATTCATGTCATTTTGAACTGTCCAGAATGACTGTAGAGCAAGTTAAAGGACCTTGTAATATTTAGAAAACTATATAATGGGTTGGATTTTCGGTGCAAAATTAAACACGGATTTTCATTAATAAGCTAGCATCATAATAGCCCATGTACTAATTACATCATAATAGCCCACATGTAATTAGTACAGGCATCGAGTAGCTGTAAAATGTGTAAATTTCTCGAGTTTGGCGGAAATCCAAGCCATTTTGCTGGGGCTGTAGTCTGTTAATACCGAATTCAAACCCGACTGACTCCATATGAATGAATTACTACAATCGCCGCTGATTTGTATAATTTATTTTTTTACATGAGTTTCGATCCTATTTTGTTTTTGGTAGCTATTATTTATATAACTTAGAAACGATTCCGTCAACATCCATAAAATTACAACAGCAACTGCGCATTTTTAAAGTTAAATTATTTTCCAACTTTGGTTGCCATCCGAGTTAGTGTGCGGCAGTTATCCGTTAATTGTACAATTTAGTAACGATCAGAATAACATCCCAGAAATGGTCGCAGCCATTGTGCTAGTGTAAAGTTAGGATATTTCTTGATTTTCAATGAGATACAAGTTTGTTTACGGAAGATATTGATTAATTGACTAATTATGACACAACTAAACATTATAATGGCATCATAATAGCTACACATGATATACACACATATAAATATATATACTTAAATGTTTTATAAATAAATATTCACGGATTTATAACAGCTTCTTTATAGGTGTGCAATAAACATATTTCTCGAGTTTGGTTGAGATCCTATTCACTTGCGTTAGTTATTGGTTATTGTGCAAGCTTTTTAAACAATACATTTCAATTCTTTCCTCATTACTTTTGAAGAAAAAAGTGTTAGCACTTTAGATTTTGAACCAAAACGTGAGCCTTTTACTGATAAAGATGAAGAGATTATTTATATAACTTAGAAACGATTCCGTCAACATCCATAAAATTACAACAGCAACTGCGCATTTTTAAAGTTAAATTATTTTCCAACTTTGGTTTCAATCCGAGTTAGTGTGCGGCAGTTATCCGTTAATTGTACAATTTAGTAACCATCAGAATATTTTATTTTTTTTTTATTTTTTTTTATAATAGAATAATAAGATAGCAGAATAACATCCCAGAAATGGTCGCAGCCATTGTGCTAGTGTAAAGTTAGGATATTTCTTGATTTTCAATGAGATACAAGTTTGTTTACGGAAGATATTGATTAATTGACTAATTATGACACAACTAAACATTATAATGGCATCATAATAGCTACACATGATATACACACATATAAATATATATACTTAAATGTTTTATAAATAAATATTCACGGATTTATAACAGCTTCTTTATAGGTGTGCAATAAACATATTTCTCGAGTTTGGTTGAGATCCTATTCACTTGCGTTAGTTATTGGTTATTGTGCAAGCTTTTTAAACAATACATTTCAATTCTTTCCTCATTACTTTTGAAGAAAAAGTGTTAGCTTTTTATTTGAACCAAAACGTAAGCCTTTTACTGATAAAGATGAAGAGTAATTTCCAGTAATATGTTGAGAGAAGAATCTATGTTACGATCTTAGTCATCTTAGTCTGTTTCAGAAACAAAATATCAACAGATTATATGACCAAAATCTATAAACTTTGCTCCCTGCATTTCATTGCTCCTCCTCTCATCGTTATAAGGATTGCTAGATGGATTTAAGTCATGATTAAATTGTGTAAAACTCGTTTATCATTTTTTTTGTTAGTTCACAAAATAATATGAAAAATTAAGTTCTTTTTTTCAATCAAACATCATTGTGTATGTTGATGTCATTAAAATTACATGCATTTTAGGTTTAGATATAACAATTCAACAGAAATGCAACGGTTTACTAGAAAATTACTGCAATATTAGCACGAGTTTTCAAATTTAAACGCCTGCTTTTTTCTTTCAATTCAATATTCACGACTTCCGTCGCAAAATAAATCTATGAGACTATTTGTGAACCCTGCACGAAAAACGACACAAAAGTATATTGATTAATAAACGATAAAATTGATTAAGTATATTGATTCGATACAACTATTAATTAATTGATCTCTGATTGTGTTAATTGTACGTATTTATATTCAATTTCTTTGTGATAATTGGTGTCTGATTGTGTTAATTGTACGTATTTTTGCTCACCTTTTGTGATATTTTAATTTTTAATTTACGTAATTGTCCGTATTTCTGCCCATTTTTTTGTGACTATGTTGATGCAAACCGATATCAGAAAGAACAACTACAAGTTGTTCAACAAGTTAAGTACAACAAGTTACTTAAGAACAACTCTTGTCTGTGCAATATTTTCTGGAGGGCAAATGGCAATAGCGTATTTTGATGCACCAATAAACTGAAGTAAGGTTGTCAAAGAACGACATTTAATTGCAGCGACTTCCCCGTTATGGCTGCACGGCAGATGGCAAATGCTGCAGGTCTGATGGACGCGCTCTGCATAAATACAAGTACATAAATTTGGACGCTTAATTACTAATTTAGATAATCGAGTATGTGCCTGCATGAATGAATATTATTCCATATATGTATGAGTCACTATCAAAATTAACGACAGATGGCAAACGCTGCAGGTCTGATGGACGCGCTCTCCTTAAATACAAGTATATAAATTAGGACCCTTAATTACTAATTTAGATAATCGAGTACGTTCCTGCATGAATGAATATTACTCCATATATGTATGAGTCACTATTATAATTATTTATAAGCGAGTTATCACAACACAATTAGTTGCGCTATCATAATTATTTATGAGCGAGTTATCACAACACAATTAGTTGCGCTATCATAATTATTTATGAGCGAGGTAACACAACCCAGTTAGCATTACTATCATAATTAGTTATGAGCGAGTTAACACAACACAATTATCATCATTATCATAATTAGCTATGAGCGAGTTAACACAACACAATTATCATCATTATCATAATTAGCTATGAGCGAGTTAACACAACGCAATTAGCATCACTATCATAATTAGCTATGAGCTTAAAATTCACCGGCACCTTTAAGTTAATCTATTGTATTATTTAATATTTGCAGAAGTTTCCCAATAACTTTTCAGATTTATTTGGTGAATTTTTTTTTTCATCATTGAGGGATGAATCATTGAGGGATGAATAACCAAGTGTTTATCCCAGTAAGGTTATTTAATCACATTTTTTATTCATTTATAAAGTACACGTTACTTACTATTAATCAGTTTCGTTATTTCAGTATTGAGGAAAGCCTCAAATTTATTCATTCGTTTGTTTGAAACGATATCAGTTGAATTTTGCATTACAAAAAGCGTTTAAAAGAAGTGGATGTTAAGGTAGCCAGCTTTATGCCGTGCAAACAACAGCACACAAAAAGAAAAGCACGAGGAAAACAGCGTCTAAATCACCTTAATGCCTTCAGGGCTTATTAACTTACGCATGCAAAGGTCAAGTAAATTAGGATAAGCGTCGTATTTCTTCCAGTTCGTCATCATAAGCCAACGCGCAGTGAATATATTGGACGTAGACCTTCTTTTATATGACGTCTAAGTTTTCCTCCTGCTTAGTAACGCTAACGTATTCCTCCTTTTTAGAAACGTTAACGTATTCCTCCTGCTTAGTAACGTTAACGTATTCCTCCTGCTTAGTAACGTTAACGTATTCCTCCTGCTTAGTAACGTTAACGTATTCCTCCTGCTTCGTAACGTTAACGTATTCCTCCTTTTTAGAAACGTTAACGTATTCCTCCTGCTTAGTAACGTTAACGTATTCCTCC